AAGGTTCATACAAAAATAAATATGTACTAGGGGTACTTTTTTGTGCTAAGTGTGAATTTGTATTTATGAACTTTTAAAATAGTTTTAAAAATTGAGAATTATTTAATTTTTATTTGAAAATAAATATACTCTATATATTTTATAATTAAAAAATTGTTGTCTTTAAAAATCAAGTAATATTTATTAATATAATTTAATATGCTATATTTTTTACTTTTCAATCATTTTAACCAACTAAGTATTAACTTTAAAATGTCATATGTATATAAGAATAAAATATATAGTCTTTAATTTTTGAGAATATGAGTATCACCTTATTATTTAAGTATGTGTTAAAGATTCAATATTAACTTTTGATAATAATAAAAATAATAAAATAAAAATAGAAGGTGTGAAATATCATATGTACAAGGATATTAAAAAATAGATGGAGAAATAATAACATAAATTAAAATATTTTATTAACTAAAAATATTTAATATATTATAAAATATTATTATTATAAATATAGTTGACCGATTCGTTGACCCCCGGTTAGACCGGTTCGACCGGTCAACCCTTGACCCACTACCTCGTCCGAGTCGACGTCCGGTCCGGTTTTCAAAAAATTGATTTTTTGCTACTATTTGACATTTTGACTTTCAGGATTATGGGGTCGTCTGGAAAGCTTCGCTAGTGCCTGAATCCAGAGAATTGACCGGAAATAAATGGCCAAACCCCGAGTTCGGCGAGTTGGGCCGAGCACTAGCCGGCGGAATGAACGAGACGGGTCTCCGGCGAACCGGGGCGAGGGTTCAGCCAATTCTCCGGCGAAGAACCGAGGCCGCAAGCCCCCTTCTTTCAGCATCTTTTTCTTCATCGTTTGTCCGGTCATATCTGTTATTGCATACCGGAAGATATACTCTCGAGACACTGTGGTCGATTCTCGCAAATCATACCTCTTTCAGCACGACTTGATCAAGACTGATTTGAATTATCGCGAAGTTCTCACTGTATGCACTGTTTTTTTGCCTTCTCATTCTTGGCCTGCTTTTATCAAAAAAACCTCATTTTGAAACGTTTTTTGAGTTTTTTTTGTTGGGTTAATGTTAATAATTTCAGGCGAATCATAAGGTAGACGAAGATTCAATAGAAACAGGCAGGCATTTTCAGAATCCTGTACTAGCCTACATCACTCCCTGGTAATGGAGATTCAATATATATTTGTATGCAATGAGAGCAGTTTGGCAATGCTTCATAATTTTACCTGCTGTTTGCATATAATAAAAGTTTTTCCTCTCCAGTAGAAGGTTGTAGGGGATGGGAGGGAAACCTCCAACTCTTGTACTTCCGGACAGCCCTCTCCTCAGACCAAACAATACTTGAGAATTTATCTCTGTGATAGTAATGGTGCAGGAATTCAAAAGGCTATGAGGTGTCCAAGAAGTTCAGTTCAAAGTTTACACATTTATCACCTGTTTGGTATGAACTTCGGAGGTGAGAACGTTGTAATCAGCTCGATTTCTGAATCTCGAGATCATATTGCAGCCATATCATGGCATTTCTTGTTTTTAGGATCCAGTTTCAGGATAACGTTGTCAGCAAAAACTAACTCAAGCCTATGCAACCATATAAATCCTAATGTAGTTATATCTTGGTTTGAGATAAATTGAGCCCTGTTAAGGTGTACAATGTACCCTTTGTCTTCTCTAAAATTATAGTGCGACTGAGTTTCTAATGCCAATCTTCTGTCTGAATTTAGTGAAGGTACCAAGTTAGTTCTTGATGGAAGGCATAACGCAGATAAAGAATGGATTTCAAACATCCAAATGAGTGGAGATGCTCTGGTACAGTGTAAAATGACTTCCAACTTTTTAATTATAAGCAGGAGCAATGTGCAAATATCATGACTGGGTACAATCAACTGAGGTACCCTGAACAGGAAGGGCTAAGTTGTAATTTAAATCTTTGCCGTTTCAGATTTTACCCAGAGTTGTCCTGGAAGCAATCCCCATGGATCTTCTTAAAAAGAAGAAACAGAGGGATAAAGCCATAAAAATTATTATTGCGGAGTGCAAGTAAGTGTTCCTTTTGGGTCTCACTGTATGAATCCCCACGGTACTCGCTTCCTTTTCACTCCACGGCATTGTTGATTTTCCTTTTTCTTTGGCAAGCATACTTGACCTCAATTTAATCACATGAATTTGCTTCAACACATCAGCATATGTTGTAGGTTAGAAATGATAGCCACACACTCCTACTCTTTTCTTTTTTGATGTTTTCAAAATTATTCTTGTTACCTCTGTTCTGAAAGCATGTTTTTGAGGTCATTCCATGTTGTGAAGGGAAATGGAGTATGATGGTATAGTTCTTGAGTCCTGGTCAAGGTGGGCAGCTTATGGCATCTTGCATGATCCTGATATTCGAAATATGGTAATGCCTTGGGCATTGAATATGATTGATTCAGTTCTATTTGAGAAGTTACTATTATAATATTTCAAAACTCATCTCATTTTGACAATATAGTTTCTGGCAATGATTCAGATGAGCTGAAACTTGATTGAATTGACAGGGCTTGCAGTTTATACGCCAGCTTGGAGAAGCCATGCATTCCGTAAGGTTAGAAAAAAGGAATAAGGCAAAAACACTGGAGTTGGTTTATGTGATAGGTCCACCACACTCGGATAAGCTGCAGGACCATGATTTTGGGCCCAACGACTTACGAAGTTTGGGCAATGCTGTGGACGGCTTCTCTCTCATGACCTACGACTTCTCAGGACCTCAAAATCCAGGCCCAAATGCACCTCTGAATTGGATACACTCAACATTGCAGCTCCTTCTTGGTGATCGCGGAGGAGATCATCATCAAAGTTTGGCTAGAAAGATCTTTCTTGGCATCAATTTCTACGGAAACGATTTTGTCATTTCAGGAGGTACATACACACATATCTATCTATCTTCAACTCAGTATATGATAAGGATTGGTCAACAATGCCATTTTTGGTTGTTTAATTTGCAGGATTAGGAGGGGGGCCTATTATAGGACACGAGTATCTATCGTTGTTGGAGAAGCACAAGCCTGCTTTGCAGTGGGAGAAGACCAGCGGCGAGCATTTATTCTTGTACACAGACGAACAGCACGCCAGGCATGTCGTGTTTTACCCTTCGTTCATGTCCCTTGCAAAGCGGCTCGAGGCAGCCCTTTCTTGGGATGTTGGCATCTCAATCTGGGAAGTTGGGCAAGGATTGGATCCCTTTTTTCATATGTTGTAGTTGTAATCAAACTCTCATCTCCTTCTTTTAATAACCCACTGCTGTTCATTCTCTTTTATTAGTTTTACTAGCCTTGTTGGAAACTAAGGGCACTACAGAAATAACTTCTTTTTTTCTTCTTCCTGAAAGTGAATATGAACCTGCATAGTTTCATTATTTAGTTTTGTTGACCCTTGTGTTTTGATAATGACAACTATCTCATGGGCTTGGCACTTTGGATGTTGATCTTCACAATCATGCGTAGGATCTCAAGACAAGTGTGAAGATATAAAGTATTTGTTTTTCGTTTAGGTCTTAGCATTTGTTGTTAAAGTGTATGGCACATTAGTTTTTTTTCTCTTTAAAAGTGTTTTCCAAAAACCCTTCTAATTGTTTTTGAGTCAGTTGCAAAATCATTTTTTTTCAAAACTGTGAAAACTATTCGAATAATTCTTGTTTTATTCGAATAAGTTAGAGTTCTCAGTTCTGTCTTATTCGAATAGTTAGCCAATTATTCGAATAAGTCCTGAAGCTCATTTTTCCAATCCTTCAGTGACTTAGTCGAATAAATCTTGATTTAGTCGAATAAGTCTGCGTTTTTCGCTCTGAACTATTCGGATAAATATGATTTTATTCGAATAAGTCGTCAGTTTGAACTGCAGTTTTGTCAGTTTTAAAGGAAGTTATCCTTCCCCATCTTCCATAGCTCACTTACAACGGCTCTTTTGCTTGAAGAACATTATATATATCCATTCAAACATATTCTTTTATCAATCCAAGCAATTCAATTCATACTTTTGATCCTTCAACATTACTTCCAAGCAATTCTTCAAGAAATCAATATTTGCTTGAGTTTTGAAGAGTACTAGTGTGCCATACTCTATAAGTTCTTGTATTCTACAGCAGTCCACTCTTAATTTGAAGAGTATTTCCGCTGTGCACTTTGTTTTGGAACGTTGTGTCAATTGTAAAAACTTGAAGTTGATATAATTCAAGTTTTGGAGAGAAATCCCGAGTCTTGTGAAATCAAGACTTCGGTGGAAAGGTTAGAGACTTGCGAATTCAAGTTCTCGAGTTGTAATCGGATTGTCAAACTCCGTTAAGTTTGACGAAGTTAGTGGAATCTCGGGCACGTTTGCTTCGGGGACTGGATGTAGGCATTAGGCCGAAACAGGATACATCGTGTGTTGCTCCTTCTCTTCATCTTTGTGTTCTTGTGGTTGATATACTCCTGCAAATTTTTTGTTCTTCCAAAAGTTTTGTTTTTTGAAGAACACCTCTATTCACCCCCCCTCTAGAGGTGCGTAAGTTGTTCAACAAGTTTATGATAAGCTCGGCGTCTAAGCTTCTCTTTTGACGCTGAACCACACAGCCATTAACATGCTAAGTTTCATACTTGGTTCGAGCACGATTTTAAATGCGAGATTGAGAATGTTTGAGGTTGATTAAATTTTTGGAAATGTTTATTTTAAATATATGTGTGAAGATGAGATTTCTTACTCATTACTCCCTCCGTCCCACTCTTTTTGTTCACTTACCTTTTAGCACACCATCCAATGCACTTCTTTAATCCATTTTATCTTGTAATTTGTATATTAAAAAATTATAAAAATTATATATTAATAATCTATATGTTAAAACGAATCAAACAAGATCACACATGACTATTTTTAGGCTTACGCATTGAGAGAATTTGATGAGTCAAAATGCTTAGATGAATAGTTCCAAAAGTCAAAACTGGACAAAGACAATGAGACATAGGTAGTACTCCCTCCGTCCCATAAAGTGTTACCCATTTTGACTAAAGTAGAAATTAAGGGAGGGATAATTTTGTGTTGACTTTCCAAAAATATCCTTGATGTGATGGGTAAAAGTAGGATGTGATGTGTAGATTATTAGGAAAAAGGTATGATGTGATAGGTAGGGTTTGAAAAAGTAAGGGGTAAAAATGGTTTTTTAATAGAAATGGATAGAACATTGTGGGACACAATTTTTTTGAAAGGTATAAATCTTTTTGGGACGAAGGAGTATTAAACACGGAGTATGTTTGATGTGGAAAATAAGAAACTACTGCAGACGAAAGAAAAAAGATAAGTTCGAACATCCTGAGCCACACGATCAAGAAAGCTATGTCTCGGCGTCCAAGCAAACTGTGTGATCCTATCTTGACACATGTCATTTAACCATTGGGTAGACACTTCCACCTCAGCAACTTCAAGAGTCCAAGAATGATACCCAAATCCAAAAAAAGAAAAAAAAAAGAAAAAGGAAAACTTTCCTGATGCCAAGAACCAAAGGTTTGCTTCCATCAATCCTCTGAGGCTTCTTCCTCTACAGAGAAGTGAGAACCCACCGGCCATTGTTCGGATCTGAGCTGCAGATTTCAAGCTATGGAAGCGGTCAACGCACCGAGGTTGACCCCACTCTCTGTTCTTTCCGACAGAAGAAACGAACCCAGAAAGACCCCATTTTTCCCGGCGAAGAAGAAGAGCATTTCTTCCTCAATTTCCGCGAATGGGTCGGCATTATCGAGAAACACCAGAGCCAAAGCGCTGACATACGAGGAAGCTCTCGACCAGTCAATGAACAGCGCCGGGACCGACTTTGCAGGCGCAAGTGGAGTTCTAGAAACAGTGGCGAACTTTGCCGGAGACAATCCTGTCTTTGTCGCCGGAAGCGCAGCGATTCTGGCTGCGCCCCTAATCGTGTCTCAGCTGCTGAGAAAGCCCAAGCCATGGGGCATCGAGTCAGCCAAGACCGCTTATGGTAAAATGGGTGAAGATGCCAATGCGCAGTTGCTGGATATAAGACCGCCTCGTGAGGTGAGGGAGGTGGGGAGGCCGGATATCACGGGATTGAAGAAGAAGGCGGTGACGGTCAGCTATGACGGCGACGACAAGTCCGGGTTCTTGAAGAAGCTGTCTTTGAAGTTCAAGGAGCCAAAGACCACCACTTTACTCATTCTAGACAAGTAAGATTAATCTTGAAGCTGTTTTCTTTCTCAATCTTTATTTAATCTTTAACTGCACAATAGTTTCATTCTTGGGGAGTAAGTAATTTATTCAAAAACTCAATTCATATTTCTGGGTGTTTTTATGGCATTATCATATTTGCTGGTTGTTTCACTTTCTTTCATACATCTTAGATGCATGATAATCTAAACCTGATGACTGAAACGCGATCCCTTAATTGTGTGGATTGAAATGAAGCCAGATATGATGGGAGCTCGGAACTTGTTGCTGAGCTAGTGACAGCAAATGGGTTTAAAGCTGCGTATGCAATCAAAGATGGAGCAGAAGGATGGATGGTCACTCACTGCAAGAACCTTATTGCTGCAAATTCATGTTGTTTAATTTGAGGAACTATTTTTTTTCTTTCTTTCTAAAATAAGACTTTAATGGCTGCAGAGCAGTGGTCTACCATGGATACCTCCTAAGAGAACATTGAGCCTTGAGCTCTTCAGCAATATCACTGATGTATTTGGTGATGCTCTCGGGGTACTTTTTCTTAATTTATATTCCTCAATTATGCACTTGTTTTAATCCCTTCGCTCCATCCAGTATTGAATAAGTCCTTCAGATCAAAAGCTCAAGTTTGTGATTGCACACCTAGAAAGGTTTTATATTCTTGACAATCTGGATAAAAAATATATAAACATGATTACCTATGAATTGCAGGAAGGTGGCGATGCAGTGACCGCTGGCCTGGGAGTTGCAGCAGCAGCCGGGTTAGGAGTTTTGGCTTTTACGGAGGTCAGTCTCAAGTCTCAGTTTTTCTTAATGTTTCTCTTCTATTCTATAATGCTATTGTAAGGTGACCTTTTCTGTTTTTTGATTTTTGGCCTCCATTTCTAGGTAGAAACAATCCTTCAACTGCTTGGTTCAGCTGCAATCGTCCAAGTTTTCAGCAAGAAATTCCTGTTTGCTGAGGTGCTGATGATGTTCTATTATAACTCTCAATCTCAAGATGCTGAAATATTCTTCCCGTTTTTTTTTTCATTATTGAGACACGACAATTGATTCGTAACACACAAACTCCGTTTTTATGAACATGCATTTCAACTTCTCCTCCCAATTTCAGGACAGAAAGCAAACGCTTCAACAAGTTGACGAGTTCTTGAACACCAAGATCGCTCCCAAGGAGCTTGTAGACGAGATTAAGGTGTTTGTTGATAATTCTACATTATTTATCATGCTGTAACAAAATATGATTGTTTATTGATAGTTGAACTTGCCAACTGGGGGTAATTCAGCAAATAGGGAAAGCACTTTTGCCAACACCAGTAATTACCAGCAAGGCTCTACCTTCACCTGCAGAGGCGAAAAATGCAAGACCAGAAGAAGAAGAAGAGGAAGTGACATCGGCGTCATCATCACAGCCAACTCCATTGCAGCTCAATTCAGTCGTTAAACCAGAAGCACCACATTCTACCCCAAAACCCCTCTCTCCTTACCCAAACGTACGTAACTCAATTCCTTTTCATGCATGATAATATATTCATTTGCTCGACCCTTTTACGTGAACATTAATTTTTGAAACTGTGAGGAACAAACTCAACCAAAAGCTCAAACTTGTGCTAAAAAATGTTTTTATGCTCTACCATCAATCTATAACTCATGAAATTAAATTTTTGTGTGCAGTACCCGGATTATAAACCTCCATCCTCACCAATGCCTTCACAGCCATAGATTGACAATCGGTGGTTGCAGCGGAGAACGGTAGAGCTAGCTTGATGTTCCATGAAGCTAAGTATCAATCAAAGCTAAAGCTATATATAACTACCTGTGTTGCTTGCTGCTAGACAGATACTTGTTGAGTTTCAGTCCATTGCCATATATATGGAAGGGGCAGTAAAAGGAAAGATCATTCAAATCCCACCTAGCTGTTTGGTACTAGATTTCATTATGCCTCTGCTGGGATGCCATCATCATCATCATCATCATCATGTACATGGGGATTAATTAATGTGGTAACATCAAATTATAAATACCATATATTGTGATGATCAGCCAGTGAACCATGCACCAACTCACATCTGCAGATATGGCCGGGATGTCATCATGCATGTGTGCTATCATTTCTGTTTCTCAAATAAGTTTTTGGACTTCAATTTAAAAATTTTCAACATCGCTTTTATAATTATTACTCCCTATTCAATTATATATTAGATTTAAAAAGGTACAATAAATTAAAAGTAATAATTTTTTATATTAAAAAATGCTCCATCGGCATATTTGGCTAGTTTGATTTTTTCTACTCCAGGTACCTTTAATAAGCATATTGTTGGACAATAACATTCTCCGGCAACACCCTAAATTGTGACAATATCTAGGCCAATAGTAGTCATTAGCTCTGTTAGACTGTTAGTGATAACTATATATACATACTACGTATAACAATAATAACAGCCTAGTTGAATCTTACAAGCGTAAGGTTTGGGGAGGGTCTGTGTACGCGGACCTTGCCCCTACTCGAAAGTAGGAAGACTATTTCCAATAGACTCTTGGCTCAATCAACAAAAACAATACTCCGCAAAATATAATACGAGTAATAGTGATAAAAAGTCTCATGCGATATATAGTACAATAGAGAAAACACGGATAAAGTTCAAGGCACACAAAGGCAAAAAACAAACTAATGTTAATGAAGAAAGAATAGTGTGTGTAAACTGAGAGTGCCAAGCATATAAGGCATGCAGAACACACAATAAGTCTAGAAAACTACCACCTAGCCCAACATACCTACCCAACCACTCTAATTCTAACTCTCCAAACGCTTATCTAAGGTTATATTTTCTACAAGAGCAAGAAGTCACAAGTCTTGTCAATTGACCTCATTCCTTTTTTCCTAGGTCTACCCCTTCCATGTACTCCCACCCACCAACGTAAGTGTCTTGCATCTTTGCACTAGAGTATCAGCATCCTGCCGCCTCACATGCTCAAACCACAATAACCTAACTTCCCGCAGCTTATATTCCACAAGTGTCATGTCGACTCATATCCAACCTCGTCTGTTTACATCAATTGTAACATTTGCATCTCCGCTTGATGAACATGGGTTTTCTTAACTGTATAACACTCATCACCATACAACATAGCTACTGGACTGACTATGGACTCGTGTAACTTACTTTTCATCCTAGCCAAATTCTTGTTATCGCATAGAACCCTTAAAGCCAACCTTGACTTATGCCAAGCTGTTCTAATAACACAATAAACAATAGTCCTGTCTAACTCTCCATGTGCCTGAATGACCGAGACAAGATGCCGAAACTTGTATACCTTGAGCACTGGATGAGAATCAATCCTAATTTCCATCCCTAGTTCTTTCTTCCAACTACTGAAAAAACATTCAATGTATTCTGTCTTGGTCCTAATTAGTCTCAATCTTTTGGTTTCCAGAAAAGATGCTAACTGTCCAACTTGTTTAATCTCTCCCAGGTACTATTGATCAGTCCACAGCTCCCACGCAAATTTAGCAAGATATATACACATATTCTTCTTCTCTTTTTCATTTTGAATTCCTTTTATGTTCATGGAGTTCAAAGACATTTAAATCATGTTCACTAATAAAAAAATAAATTTAAATATAACTATATTTAAATTAAAACAGACTAAATCAGATCAGAATCTATTCTAATCAGATCAGAACCATTTAAACCCCACGAATAAAATATTCCCTCCATCCCTAAATAAAGTTCCTCTTTCGTTTTTTCTTTGTCCCAAAATAAACTTCTCTTTTCCCTTAAAAAACCCCTTTTACCCCCTTACTTTTTTATACCCTACCTATCACATCATACCTTTTTACTAATAATCTACCTATCACATCTTACTTTAACACATCACATCAAGTATATTTTTGAAAAGTCAACACCAAAATATTCCTCCCTTAAATCCACAAAATGTCAAAAATAAAACTTTATTTAGAGAGGGAGGGCCCTAGCATTGGTTGCTCTCTACCGGCCGCGTGAGGCCATTTTTTGTTGTGAAATTTCGCGTCGAATTGACGTGGCTACACATGTCAAGTTTTCTCAATTGAAGAAGATGGAAAACGAAGAAGAAAAGGAAGAACAGATTAATTCATTCTTCTTACGCCATCAACAAAAGGGGAGCAGCCCAGTCTTTTATACAAGAAACGCAGAGAGTAAAACTAACTAACAGAAACGTAACTAAAAGCCTATAAAAGAGGAAATTCAGTTGAAACAGCTGGCAATTGAAGATTGGGACAGCTGGCATTTAGTTGAGTCTTCACAGTCAATGGAAACTTGACTCTTCACACCCCCCCTCAAGCTGGGTGGTGGAGAAACCATCCCCAGCTTGGATAAAAGTTTGTTGAACTGATCAGCAGGAAGGATCTTGGTAAGGACATCTGCAAGCTGGTTAGCTGTAGGAAGATAGGAGAGATCAATGAGACCTTCAATGACTTTCTCTCGAGTAAAATGACAATCAATGTCAATATGCTTTGTCCTTTCATGGAAAACTGGATTTCTAGCAATATGCAAAGCTGATTGGTTGTCACAATGAAGAGTAACTGGCTTCAAATTTGGAACCTGAAGTTCTTCCAGCAAACGCACCAACCAAGTGATTTCTGAAGCTGCCTGAGACATGGATCTGTACTCAGCTTCTGATGAGGACCAGGAAACAGTGCCTTGTTTCTTGGATTTCCAAGAAATGGGGGATCCTCCAAGTAAAATGATGTAACCAGTGACTGAACGTCGTGAAAAGGGGCAGGATGCCCAGTCAGAATCAGAGAAAGCATGCAAGGACAGCTGATCAGATCCTTTCATTAGAATGCCTTGATCTTTAGTACCAAGAAGGTAATGCAGTAAATGAAGAGCACCTTTCATGTGTAAATCCTCAGGAGTTTGCATAAACTGACTCAGAAGCTGAACAGAATAGGAAATATCAGGACGAGTATGTGTGAGGAAATTGAGTTTTCCTATTAAACTCCTGTATGCATGTGGATCAGCACAGATGGCAGAAGTACCATGTTGGAATTTAGCATTGAGAGGAAGAGGTGTCTTCAGAGGCTTGTCATGTAAGCAATGATAATCAGCAAGTAATTCTTGTGTGAATTTCTTCTGGGAAAGAATAATGCCTGCTGAAGTATAAGTGAGCTCAAATCCAAGGAAATAGTGAGCAAGACCAAGATCCTTAATTGTGAAACTGTCATCAAGAAACTTTTTGAGAGAAGCAATGGCCATGGGATCAGACCCAGTAAGGAGTATATCATCAACATAAACAGCAGCAAGAGTGATGTTATCAGTAGAGGATTTGATGAATAAGCTGGGATCAGACTTAGACTGAACATATCCCTGAGAATAGAATGCAGTAGAGAGTTTTGTAAACCATTGTCTACTGGCTTGGCGAAGGCCATAAAGTGATTTCTTCAAGCGACACACTTTGCCAGAGGGATTAGGAAAGCCTAAAGGAACCTTCATATACACTTCATCCTTCAAGTCCCCATGCAAAAATGCATTGTTTATGTCAAGTTGAGATAGTTCCCACTGTCTAGAAGCTGCCAAAGCAATAATGCAACGAATAGTGGACATTTTTACAACTGGAGAGAAAGTTTCAGTAAAGTCAATGCCATATCGTTGATGATTTCCTTGAATAACAAGTCGTGCTTTGAACCTTTCCAAACTACCATCAGATTTGAGCTTCACCTTATAAACCCATTTACTGGAGATAGCTTTCTTTCCAGGAGGAAGATCTACAAGATCCCAAGTGTCATTGACCTGCAAAGCTGTTATTTCATTGTTCATAGCAACAACCCATCTAGGATCATTGGAGGCCTCAGAATAGGAAGTTGGTTCAATATAAGAACAAAGATGAGTAAGAAACGCTTGATGTTCTTGTGAGAGATTATTTAAATGGACAAGATTGCACCAATGTGAAGTTGTGGCATGGGTCTGTTTGAGAGTAGGGCAGCTGTATTGTTGTAAGTAAGAAGGAGCTTTTCTGATGCGTGTGGAAACACGTGGTTGAGTGGGAGTGAAAGTAGATGAAGGTATTGAAAGTGAAGATGTGTCAGATGATGTGGAAGAAGACTGAGATAAGGTTGGAATAGAAATGGAAGATCGGGAATCAGTGTAACCAGTAGGGTTAGTATCAGAAGGAGTGACATTGCTTTCATCTGATGGGAAAAAAATGGGAAGGGAATCTGGAGGTGAATTAGGAAGGACTGAAGTAGATGAATGAGATGAGAGATGGTGAAAAGGGTAGTAATGTTCCTGGAATCGAACATTCCTACTATAGAAAACCTGTCTTGATTCTAGGTTTAGCAGTTTGTAGGCTTTCTTATGAAAAGGATAGCCAAGCAAGACACAAGGGACAGCTCTAGGATCAAACTTTGTCCTGTGAGAGGCTAAGGTAGCGGCAAAGCATAAATATCCAAAAGATCTAAGATGCTCATATGTTGGAGGTGAGTTAAAGACAATTTCATAAGGGGTTTTGTTGTTGAGGATGGAAAGGGGAAATCTGTTGATTAGGTAGCAAGCAGTAAGAACACAATCACCCCAATATTTGGTGGGAAGCTGAGCTTGAAAAGATAAAGCTCTGGCGGTTTCAAGAAGGTGTTTATGTTTCCTTTCAACAACCCCATTTTGTTGTGGGGTGTCTACACAGCTGGTTTGATGAATAATTCCATGAGATTGGTAAAATGAAAGGGCTGAGGAATCACCAAACTCTAACCCATTGTCTGAACGTATAACCTTAACAGTAACATTAAATTGTTTCTCAATTAAAGCAATGTATCCTGTTAAGGCTGGAAAAGCACTTGATTTGTGAGAAAGAAGTTGTATCCATGTTAATCTGGAAAAATCATCCACAATGGTAATAAAAAATCTATAACCATTGTAGGTGGAAGTCTTGTAAGGACCCCAAATGTCAACATGTAAGAGCTGAAAAATAGAAGAAGTTTTTATTGAACTTGGAGTGAAGGGCATTTTATGCATACGAGCTTTAGGACAAACATGACAAATAGAGGAATGAGAAGGTTCAATACATGAAACAGAATCAATATACTTCATTCTAGTGCTAGGCAAATGACCCAATCTACAATGCCACAACTCACTTTTAGACATACAAGACATAGGAAAAGAAGCATGTAAAGATGAGGAACCATGCTGCTGCACAAAGTATAAACCACCATTTTGTTTACCAACCAGCAGTGTATTCTTCTTCACATGATCCTGGATCAAGCAATGAGAAGGATGGAAAATCAAAGAACAAGATAACTGAGATACCAATTTTTGAACAGAGAGTAGATTAAAATGAAAATCTGGAACATGTAATACTTCAAGCAATTCTATCCCATTTGCAAGGATTACAGTTCCTTCATGTAGGACATTGACTTTCTGGCCATTTGGTATGGTAATAAAACAAGGTTTGGTGACAGGTTTGTAGGTAGTGAAGTTGTTAAGGTGTGGGCTAATGTGGTCTGAGGCTCCACTATCAATGATCCATTGAGTGTTATTGTATGAAGAAAGAAAACAACAGCTTATACCTGCCATATGAGTACTTGAGGCCATATGAGTAGATAGAAAACCAGGAGCTCTAGTGTGTTCATTGTCTTGCAGATTCTCTTTGTTCAGGAGAGCAATAAGTTGGCTGTATTGAGAATTTGTAAGTGATATGGATGAATCAACAGGGTTGTGTGAAGTATTAGAGGCACCACTGACTTCCTTATCTTCTTCTGAAAAAACATTTCCAGCAATCCTTTTTCCTTGATTAAAACTCTGTCCTGTTGATGAGTTCTGTCCCCTGTTAGGTTTTGGATATCCATGGATTTTGAAACACCTCTCAACAGTATGTCCATAAACCTTGCAATTTTGACAATAGTACTTGGACTTTTTTCCACTGGGAGTGATTCCAAAAATTGGTCTGTTGTAAGCAGGCACAGCATGAACAGAAGCCAAAGCACTTGATTCAGATACCATAGGAACTGTATTAGTGAAATCTCTCTGTGTTTCTTCTTGTGTGATCAACTTATAGGCCTGGTTCAGATTAGGGAGAGGCTTCATCATCAAAATGTTCCCACGAGCAGTCTTAAAGTTGTCATTAAGTCCCATTAAGAATTGCATCAGGTGTTGATCTTGAAGTAATTTAGAGTAACTTCCAGCTCTATCACATTTGCAGTGAGGCAAGGACACCATAGCCAAGTAATTGTCATACAAACTCTTCAACTTGGTAAAATATTCGCTAACAGAATCTGATCCTTGAACCAAAGTCACCATTTCCTTGTGTAATTGAAACAATCTAGGAGCATTAGATTGACTGAATTGTTCAGCAAGATCCTTCCAGATTTCATGTGCAGATTCATAATACAGAATGCTGTTTGCAATTGATGGTTCAACTGAGTGTAAAATCCAAGATATTACCAGATTATTACAGCGAGTCCATTAATGGCGAACAGGGTTCTGCAATCCTCTGAATCCAGTATTGCTTAATCAGGTGCTGTAGTACCTGTTCTTAAAGCTCGCTTTGACGTGTCTCTGTGAGAATGGGAGATCAAAACTCGTCATCGCGTATTCAGATCGATATACACAGCGAATTGTATCTGCATCCTACTGAAACACCTAATTTCTCACTTGCTTCTCAAAAACTAAATGGAGACAACTTTTCCAGTGGAAACGATCAGCTGAGATTGCATTAAGTGCGCGAAACAAGCTAGGTTTTGTTGATGGAAGCTCGCAGGCACCTGAATCGAACTCTCCTTTATTCAATCAATGGAAACTTGACTCTTCACAACACAAGTGGCGAAGACAAAAAAGCTTCACAAATTGTCCTGTTTGGATTTTTAGTCTTGATAAAGGAAATTAATGATTTTCGAATGATCATCGGAAGTAAGATAACCTTTTAATCCATGGATAACTTTTTGAGCAATTAGAATTAAAAGCTGCAATCCAGTATTACAACTTAACCTTTTCAACTCATTCTTACTCTCTCCGTCCTTGAAAACATTTTTCTTTTTTTTTCACTCGTTCCAAAAAATATATCTTATTTCTATTAAAAAAAATCACTTTTTACCCTTTACTTTTTCATATCCTATCTACTCCCTCCGTCCCATAAAGTGTTACCCATTTTGACTAAAGTTGAAATTAAAGGAGAGATAATTTTGTGTTGACTTTTCAAAAATACCCTTGATGTGATGGGTAAAAGTAGGATGTGATGTGTAGATTATTAGGAAAAAAGTATGATGTGATAGGTAGAGTTTGAAAAAGTAAGGGGTAAAAGTGGTTTTTTAATAGAAATGGGTAAGAGATTATGGGATACAATTTTTTTGAAACGTGTAAATCTTTTTGGGAAAGAGGGAGTATTACATTATAGTTTTTTACTACTCACTTTGTTCCTTAAAACCATTCCTATTTTGACTTTAGGCCAAAATAAAGAAAGTGTAATTTTGGTTGACTTTCCAATTTTGCCCCTGATGTGATAAGTAAAGAGTAAGATGTGATAATTTGGTTATTAGTGAAAAAATATGATGTGCTAGGTAAGGTATGAAAAAGTAAGGCTAAAAGTGGTTTTTTAATAGAAAGTGGAAGTGTTTTAATTAGGGAATTGGAAAAAAATGAAAGAAGAAGGGTTTTATGGAACGGAGGGAATAATAATCTACCTATCAAATCTTACTTTTACCTATTACATCAAAGGACTTTTTTGGAAATTCAATACTAAAATCTAATACACTTTTCTTAAATCTCATAAAAATAAATCACTCTCATGTTTTTAGGATCGGAGGGAGTATTAGTTACCGAGTATTATACTCCATAAAAAATTTTAAAGACAAAAAAATGCTTTGACTTTTTGGGAAATTAAAGGATGGATATTTTGGCAATGACTTTCCAAAAATACCCTTGATGTGATGGGTAAAAGTAGGATGTGATGGATAGATTATTAGAAAAAATGTATGATTTGATAGGTATGGTATGAAAAAGTAAGGGGTAAAAGTGGTTTTTTAATAGAAATATAACGGACTTTACGGGACACAATTTTTTCTAAACGTAACAAACTTTTTGGGACGGAGGGAGTATAATTTTAATAATATTTTTTTAATTTAACTCTTACTTTATAATAAAGTAGGATATGTCGATATGATGTCTATGGTAGATTAGTCATAATTAAAAAATGATATCAATATTATCTATGTTTAGCGTAAATTGTTCGTCTTAGAAATTTTTTATGATGAGACGTAAGAAGTATTTTTATTAGAACTCATCAATCGCACTATAAAATACTCCCTCCGTCCCAAAAAGATTTACACGTTTCAAAAAAATTGTGTCCCACAATCCCTTACTCATTTCTATTAAAAAACCAATTTTACCCCTTACTTTTTCAAACCCTACCTATCACATCATACCTTTTTTCTAATAATTTACACATCACATCCTACTTTTACCCATCACATCAAGGGTATTTTTGGAAAGTCAACACAAAATTATCTCTCCCTTAATTTTAACTTTAGTCAAAATGGCTAACACTTTATGAGACGGAGGGAGTATTCTTGTGTGTATATGTATGCAACACTGTACTGTATAGTGTCAAAAAATTTTATTTGTGCCCCATGCCAGCCCCTACTAGAATTTTCCATGCATGTATAGATTAAAATAAATCACTAAATGAATGAATAAATAAAAAGCATAAATGGTATATATATATATATATATATATATATATATATATATATATATATATATATATATATATATATANACATAAGATTATTAGGAGATGAGTATATATAGGACGACCAGCGGTTCCTTTTGGCTAAATGTTAAACATTTACTCCATATTGAATTGCCACATCACATCCCATCTATGCACCTAATAACTACTGTACATGCATCAATAATATTGACTCCAGAACTTGATCATAGATTATAAGAAAAATACATTTAGTTATTATAATATGAATTGAATATAATTAATTTATTATAACATGTAGTTTAATTTTGATATATAGGTTAACTGTTTATATATAATACTGTAACTATTTATGTAGTGCATGTTTTTATTTATTACGGATGGGAGTATTTAATAAAATCATTATACGCAGTACATATCTATTCTCTATCCCTGAAAATCTTTCTTTTTTCTATTTTTCATACATTCCAAAAAAAATTTCTTAATCCTATTAAAATGTCATTTTTTTACTAGTTTTTAACATACGTATCACATCACATCTATTCATTATTAATCTACTTATTAAATTCTACTTTTACCCGTCATATCTAAAGATATATTTGGAAACTCACAATACACTTGGATCCCCTTAATACCCTTAAAAATCAAAACCTCCCGTGTTTTTAGGGAGTAGGGAGTATATCACAGCCACTATCACCTATTGTTTTGTATTGGGCATATCATTTGGTGTTGTTTTTCTAATTTTTTTTGATAATTCCCTATATATGGTCTTTTGTTTACATCAAACATCATAAAATATTAGACTTAAAATTTTCAGTGTGGGGGGGACGGAGTATATGGTAGACAGTAGTGCCCGGCCACTTTTGCGCACGCCCGATCATGACTTATCAATGAAGACAAAATTTAAAATAAGCTAAAGCAACATTATATAAATATAAATATAAAATAAACCCAGGCCAGGCCATATAATATGTATTATGCATGCATCCACACTGATGATGATGATGATGAGATGGACTCAGCTTTTGGGTGTGTGTGTGTCTGTATGTGTGTATTGTGTCTCTGCATGCATGTGACCTTATAATAGTTTTATAGTATAATTAAGCTAAGCTTAACTAACTGGTCTTCGATAATCTTCCCCCGCGCCCACGCCCACGCCTATATATATGTGTGTGTGTGTGTTTAACCAACCAATCCAACATTTTATCTTCTCATCCCATCCGCCTTTCATTTACTACACGTCGTCGTACGTAGTACTAGCTAGCTAGCCAGCCATACATGTATGTATATAAATCTATTCCCTCCTCCGATCAATTATTATTAATTCAGAATTCGCCAAGCTTAATATTTAAATAATAATTAATTGCTTAGTTAATTATTATAAGTAATTTATTATGGTCATTTGTGGTACGTCGTAGGATATATCGTCGTCCCAATTAACTTAAGATGTACAAGCAGCCGCAGCCGCAGCAAAAGAGAAAAGCAAAGAAGAAGAAGATGACGAGCAGCAGCAGCCAGAGCAGTGTGCAGATGAGCAGCAGCCACAACAATATTAATGAATCCGGTGAGTTACTCTTTCTCTTTGTTCTCGTTTCAAAAACATTTTTTCTTTCATTTTTTCCACTTCCAATAAAATACTTCATTTTTTTATTATTTAAAAAATCACTTTTACCCTTACCTTTTCATACCCACCTATCACATACTCCATCCGTCCCTTAAAAAACTTCTCGTTTTGACTTTTAAAAGATTTAAGGGGAATGTATTTTGGTGTTGATTTTCCAAAAATGCCATTTGATGTCATGGATAAAGTAGGATATGATGGGTAGATTAGTAGAGAAGAAATATGATGTGATAGGTAGGTTAATACGGAGTAATTAATAAAGGTAAAAGTGGCTTTTTAATAGAAAAGGAGAATTGTTTTTTTGGGACGGATGAAAAAGGAAAGAAGGGTTTTGCAGGACGGAGGGTGTAATATTTTTTCTCTAATAATCTATCCATCACATCTTACTCTAACCATCACATCAAGGGCAAAATTGGAAGTCAACTACAATTTAACAGTTCCTTATTTTACACTTAATCAAACTAGGAACACTTAGTCTCTACCGCACTATATATTTTGATTTTTTCAAGTCAATTTTAACATATTTTCATCACTAATTAAATAAATGCCATTGTATTATTAGATCCGAGTATACACACACACACACACATACTGCCAACTGTAAAATTCACTCAGGGTAAAAGTCAAAATGGAAAGGAATATATTATATATATATATGAGACACAGGTAGGTACGGAGTATTTGTTTGTTTGTTGATTAGATATTATAAGGAGTATGTATGTATGGGTTATTAGTTAATAATAGAATTGAATAATAATTATAAACGTGACGTTGGATATATATAAAAAATGAAAAATTGAGGTAGAGGTGAGCAGCATGGATTGGGAGTTGATAAAGATGAGCCCGCAGGAGGAAGACCTTATTCATAGAATGCACAATATTGTCGGCGACAGGTACGGTGGTCCTTCTTTTCTTTTTTCGTACCCATGCATGAAATACTTATTTATTACCCCGAGTATTATATAGTACTCCCTCCGTCCACCTAAGTTCTTCCCGTTACGCGTTACGAGACTTGACCGACTTTATTTTCAATTCAATTTAAATTATTATAGGAATAAAATTTTAAAATAAAATTTATATAGTAATAAACTACATGCAAAGTTCTACAAAACTAGAGGTGACAAGACTATATTATTTTACGAAATGACTAGTAAAAATGAGCAAACAAAGTGAATAAAGTTTGACCCTGTGAATAGTGTCTGGGAAGATCTATGGTGGACAGAGGGAGTATTAGTTATTACTCCCACCGTCCTAGTTGAAACTTCTCGTTTTGACTTGGCACGGGTTTTAATGTAAAGTGGAAAAGGAGACGAGTTCCCTATTTTGCCCTTCATGGCGTCACTTTTTAGAAAACAAATCAAAAGAATAAAGTGCATAGTGCTCAATAGTGACAAAGTACAAAAGTTTAGATTTTTTTCCTATTCAATCATTACATACACATATTCATGTACATACACCCCATAGGCATGATTCACATCTACAAAAGTGAAAGAATATTTCCCTCCAAAACACCCAAAACACATTAAAAAAATTAAAACATGGAGGGAAAATGTGCTACACATATTCTCTATAAATAATCCTTCCAAAAATAGCAACACATGCCTAGTCTTCTTATTCTTCCTTTACTTTTCTTCTTCCAATTCTTCCTTTCTTTCCTTTTTTTCTTATTCTCTCTTTTTTCCCTTAAAAAACTGCAACCTTTCATCATCATCAATCACAACACCCCCACCCCCTGAAAGTGTCACTCATAGTGGAAGGAGGCTGCATGGCTTTATCATTATCATCGCCTCTAATTTCATAGAGACTAGGGTTAAAAGTGTCTGAAATTCCAGAGAGAAGATACAAATTCTCTAAATCTATGAAAACACATAGATCTAGGGTTGCTAATGAAACGAAAGAAGAGGAACGAAAATCTGAGAGAGCGATGATAGTGAGAAGATGAAGGGTGTGAGAGCGACTCCATCACAGATTCACAGCAAGCAAGTGATGATAGTGAAAATGGAGGAGAAAGATCTACTCTGTAGCCCGTAAATGAGAAAATTGAAAGCAAAGTGGGTGGATGAGAATGAGATAACGGGGTAGAGAGTAGATAATGAAAGTGGGGTGGGTTAGGTGATGTCATACTAATGATAGAATACTCCGTAAATGTAAGTAGGAATAAAGAGGGGTAAATAGGTCATTGTAAGTGTTTTTTTATTTCCAAATAAGGAAATGGGAAGAATCAAGTGGGACGGCCCAAAAAGGAAAGTGAGAAGAAAGATATGGGACGGAGGGAGTATAATATACTTCATCCCTGTTTGCAAAAAGACTTTTCATTTTGATTTGGGACAAAAATAAAGAAGTATTAAATTATAGTTGATTTCCAATTTTACCCCTGATGTGATGGGTAAAAATAAGATGTGATGGATAGATTATTAGAGAAAAAGTATGATGTGATAGGTAGGGTATGAAAAAGTAAAGGTAAAAGTGGTTTTTTAATAGAAAACAGAAGTGTTTTGTTGGAAGTGAAAAAAATGAAAGAAGAAGTGTTTTTGAGAACGGAGGGATTAGATATATAATAATAACAACATATTTATTATATATTATAAATATATACTAATGTTTGAATATATAACATAATAATAATTGGAAATATGTATGCATGTATATATATATAGGTGGGGATTGATAGCGGGGAGGATACCAGGAAGAACAGCAGAAGAGATCGAGAGGTTTTGGATAATGAAACACAGTCATCATGTCTTTGCTCATCATTGCACAAGACGTAGTAGTAGTACTACTCATACTACTTCCATATATTATCCATCACATTAATTCATACTTATATAACTATATGTCATTGTGATGATATCGTCATTAATTAATGTACCAAGTATTTCCCTCTTTCATTTCATAGCTACTCCACATATTATTATGAAGTACCATTATTATTATTACTCCATCCGTTCTAAAATTAATTAATTTTTCATTTGATTTTTCACGATCCTCAATGTAACACTTTGATTATTAATATTTCTAATTATATATATATATATATATATATATATATATATATACTATAAAAATATTTACAAACTATATTTCAAAGTTAATCTATTGACATTAAACTTGTGTTAAAGGTCAATGTATTTTTTTGTAATATACAATCAAACTTTAAAAAGATTGACCATGAAAAATTTATTTTAGGACATAGGAACTACTATTATTACTCCCCTCTTCCCGAAAAAAATGGCCTAACTATTATTTCAGACACCCAATTTTTTTTGTTTGTGTATGGAAAAACGGCCTGTGGCCCATATAACTCGATTGTTCGTCTGGAAGTACATGTCTAGTGGTTCTTGGTCCTTTAGGTGTTGATAGTTTTGATCCTTTCATTTTCTACGGACAGGGAATCCATTAGCAAGTGGTCAATCAGTTAAAGACAGCCACATCAAAACTTGAAGACAAAATAAATCGGTATATAAACTCTTGATGAGTTGAACTAAGTAATCGATTGAATTCAATCTTTTAATGTGGTTCAACATAAATGTCTTAGCTTGTGACCCAGCCTAGTGATCGTTACCCCATCCTAAATTCTATCATGGTATCGGACCTAAGGTTCTAAGCCTAGCCCTTCCTTTTCCGGCAGAGCACATCGCCGGTCTTGGTTCACGGCAGTCGACCGTACAACAGCATGACGTCACCGGCCGATCTCGAAGAGCGTGCCTAACAGTCACTGTCCATTTTTCTAGAGATCGAGAACATGGAAAGCGAAAGAGAAGCAGATAATGGCCCAAAATGATAAAAAAGAAACTTCTCACTCACGCTGCAATCGCCAACACTCTAATTGGAAAAAAAACTCAACAAAACGTAATCTGATACTTGTTGGTCATGCAACAAAGATATGGTTATCTACTTTTAGAGGCTATCCTCACAAAAGTACTTTCGCCGACTCAATTTCAGCATCTGTGCCCCAAACCAATGTTTTGAAAATCGGACCAGACGTCGAACCGGATTAGCTACTGGGTCAAGAGTTAACCGGTTGAACAAAGTTGACTCGGGTCAACAACCTAGCCAACAACCCATGACTTGGTATATAATATTCATAAGAGTAAGTTCCATAAAAGGTCCCTAGTTATATGTCGTTTTACATATTTAGTCTCTATATATCAAACATTATTAATTTAGTCCCCAATTATTATATCATTTTTCACGAATGGTCCTTTGTTAACGTTTTTGTTAAAAACATGGATAAAATTGTATATTCATACTTCTCTCTCTCTCTTTAATTAAGCTTTCTCCCTCTTCTCGTACTCTTTCCTAAACTCGTCGCTGAGTTTGAAGCACTATACCCAAAATTGAAATAATCACTCATCTCTCAATTAGTAGTCTTACTGGTGGAACCTAAAATCAAAACCAATAAGCTTTATGGATGAGTTTTATCGGTTAGTCTCAAGAAATTACAAAGAAAATAAACATTAAAACCCATCCATGAAGGTTACTGGTTTCGAATTTGGGTTCCACCAGTTCGACAAACAATTGAGAAAAGAGTGATGATTTTGGTTTTGGGTTCAAAGCTTCAAACTCAAAGACGGGTTTGGGAAATGAGTGCGAGGAGAGGAAGAAAGCTTAATTGAAGAGAGAAAAGATTGTGAATTTACAATTTTATCCACGTTCTTAACGGAAATGTTAACAAAGGACCATTCGTGGAAATAAATATAATAATTGGGGACTAAATTAGTAATATTTGATATGTAGGGACTAAATATATAAAACGACCTATAACTGGGAACCTTTTATGGAATTTACTCTATTCATAATTATGTTTAGATAATAAAAAATTAAATAATACCATGTTTTGTGGACTATTTTTAAAGATAATAAAACATTATCATATAACTTAAATACCTATTATTTCTAAACAATACAAAGCATATACTCCACCCGTCTAACTTTAATTAACCCATTTGAACCGGACACACATATTAAGGAAAGATGTAAATGTCATTTTCAATGTTAAATAAAATACTTAATGTTGTGTTTTTTTCTTCTCCATGTTATTTTCAATGTCATTGTTCATATACTCTTTCACATACACTTTCCATATTTTATTATATTTAGTATATATTTCTTCATTTTATAAATGATAATATTTGTTAAGATGTAAATTATTCATTATTATTTAACAAAAAATAATATATATTTTTACTTTGAAATATTTTAAAAGAATATAAAATAACTACACAAACAAACATGTTCTTTCTTACAAATAGTTAGATTTTTTTAAAATTCCCTGAGCACAAATAAGAAACACTATATATACTATTCTACATGATTATGGTAACAAGTGTCTAGTAACTTAAGTGGTTAAAGTCTTACCCTCCGTTTGGATGGGATGATTTTGGAAGAAAAGAAAAGTGGAGAGAGGAAAACACAAGTTTCTAGATGTTTTCTCTTGTTTGTTTGCGATAGAAAACAGGGAGAGGAAAGAAAAAGAGTGAAAAAAAGCCTTAAAAACTTTTCTCTACACTTTTGAAGAGAAAACGTACACATGGAGAGAAAATGCATGAAATGACATGTTTGCCCCTTGCCTTTTTTCTAATTTACAAAGTACACCTTTTTTTTCTTTAACTTTTTTGTTGCTTTATGATAAGGGCATTAGTGTATTTTGGCTTAATCATGTTTTCTTTCCTCTTCTCATTTTCTCTTCTTTTTTACCTATCCAAACAGTAATTATTTTCTTTTCATTTTCTCTCCTCTCATTTTCTTTCATTCCATTTTCTTTCCTCTCATTTTCCTTTCAAATCCAAACAAAGGCTTCCGGAGTTGAATGGTGAGGTTTAGTGTTCTAATATAATCTTCATCATTTTATTTTATAGACAAACAAAAACTTTCGGACCCAACCCGTGGGTCGACCCGGTCCACCGGTTCTGCCGAGTCTACCGGGTTTGGGCGGGTCAATGCATATCCGGTTTTTACAATTGAATCGGACCGGAGTGCTCACCGGTTCGCGGTCCAACCGATGGAACCGGCTGGTCTGGTCCGGTTCTAATAACATTGCTCCAAACTGCTCCTCGTTACCTTCCTCTCTTTATTTCTTTATTCCTTATTGTATTTGTTACTATATTTCTTTTCGTACTTGAATTGAAACTCTCTCATGTAATCCCTAGCTATAAATAAGGACGTATCCTTCAATATGTAATAAAACCAATTAATTAGCATCAAACTGTATCACAATTCAATCCTACACCTACTTACCTTTCCCAATCACCACCATACTTTTATATTATACTCTATCACCTCTCATAACCCCCATTTTATCATCACCAGCATACCACGCACATATATAGCTAGCGAGCCTTAATTTATTTTGGATTAACGAGAGATCGAGGTCAAGGGAAAGGCGGAATAGAGGTTTTTGAATATTCAATTCTTAGGTAATTGCTTTTCAACTCCCCTCCCCATTAATCGGCCCTTTCCAATCCTTTCACATTTTCTTTTGACTCGTTCTTTGAGACAATCGGATCTAAGCAATATTTTTTCCGTTGTGGAAAAATCTAAGCAATATTATCTTTAGCCTTTAGGTGTGGTGCAACGTTTCTTTCCCTATGGTGTGGGACGTAGTTGGGATGCTTCAATTCCCAACACTAACTGACCAGGTTGACTCGGGGTATACCTATCACGACTCTATTTTATACTACTACGTACATTCGCCCCAAGATTAAGTTTTCATTGCGACTTGAAATATTTTTTCGAAATATTAGCACTAAAACTTAATAAGTCATTTCCCTAAATAGTAATTAAGCTATTTTATTCCCTAAATAGCATTTAATAATGTCCAGCGATGGTGAATATTTACTTAAATAATGTCTAATGCATAATGACTAAAAGTGCTACATTAGCTAGGAAGAAAAATACATGTAATGCTATTTAAGTAAAATTTCCCATATTTTTAGTCAGGGCCGACCAAGGGTGGCATGGCTCTCTCTCGATCTTGTCACATTTTTTTCAGTGATCCTACATTTTTAATTTTTCAATATATATATATATATATATATATATATATATATATATATATATATATATAGATTAACTATCTATACATGTTTCGGTCAGATGACACTTTCAATCCGACTGGAGTCAAACCCAAATAAGACCACTAGTCCAATCTAGTCCGGTCGGTAGTCCAATCCGGTCCGGTCTCTAGTCCCACATATTGGGTCAAGATTGTAGTTTTGCGATGTTGTGTTAGGGTTACCAAATAGTCCATCAACACTTTTTGCATCGGTCGAGATTGCATGTTGCACTTCGCTCGCTCCATCGCTGATGCTCTGAGGACGTCTCTGAGGACTAGCTCTACTGCTCTAAGACAGAGTGTTGTGACGCTTGAATTTATCTTGAAACTCTAAGAAAATACTTAGGTGATAGGGGAAGCCGAGAAGTATTAATCATTTCTAATTTGTATTACTCTATATTATTTTTTTAACATTTTTATGCGTACTACTCCATATATACTACTCCCTATATATACTCCGTAATTTACAAGTAATATAATTAGACTCTAGAGGACTAGTTTTTTGGACTAGTGCTAGTCTTTAGACCAATTTTTTACTAGTCTCGGACCGGTTCAGGTTTTTAACATGTCTTAGACTAGTCCTAGTCCTCTATAAATATTAAGGAACATTTGAGACTACTGGTCCTGGACTAGACTAGTCTCAAGGACTACTTCGGTCCCAATCTTTCAAGTCCAAGTCTTAGTCGGTCTCGGTCAATCTTTTCGGTCCCAGTCATATTTTATGCTCTTCTCTAAGTAGTGGTATTCGGTCGAAAAAAGTTAGCAGCCGGGCAGCGTGATGTATCCAAAAGGACAATAATGCATGCATTACTACGTATTTTGGATGTGAGAAGGCCAATTCAACAAATTAATTAACATCGTACGGAGTATATTATTAGCTTCTCTAATTTTCCACGGAAAGCGAGAGAGACTGCCGCAGGTTCCGCGTATTTAGCTTTCCGCGTCCTTTCCTTTCCTCTCTCTTTCATTATCGCTTTTCCTTTTCTATGCTAGCTTAGCTTCTCACATCCTAGCTCACCTCACTATATATCTATCCTCCCAAAATATTTTTACATTTTACGCAAAATGAAGTACACTTTAAATTTTTTTAAATAAATTTTACTTAAAAGTTGGTATAGAATCTAAAAACAAAGCTTTACATATTTAAAACTACGTAAAAAATCTCACACAACAAGAAATGAAACGAATATTTAATTTTATCAAATAATCAATTAAAATACATAAATGAATAAAAGTTTTTGTGAGCTTTGAACAACGAAGAATATACTCCCTCAGTCTAGAAATGTTCCTCTCATTTTATTTTTCTTGTTCAAAATTTGTAAATTTTGGTTACGATGTATAGAAAAATACATGGTATTATAATACTCCATCCGTCCACAAATAAACTTCTCGTTCACTATTCACATAGTTAAACTTTATTCACTTTATCGACCTATTTTGGTCACTCATTTGATAAAATAATACAGTAATATCACATCTAGTTTTTGTAGATCTTTTGATATAATTTTTTAACATGTAATTTTTATTTTAAAATTTTACATATAAAATGATTTGAAAATAATTTCAGTCAAACATCGTAACGCGCAATGAGAAGTTTATTTGTGGACGGAGGGAATATAACTTTAATATTACGGAGTAGATTATTTCTTTATATAGGAAGTACTCCTTCCGTCCTAAAATTAACTTCTCATTTGACTTTTCACGGTCTCCAATGCGACACTTTGACCATTAACATCTCAATTTTTATAGAAATATATTTTATAAAAATTATATGTTTCAAAATGAATCTATTGCTAATAAATTTATATGAAAATTCAATGTATTTTTTCCATAATATACGGTCAAAGTTTAAAAAATTTGACTACAAAAGTGAAACTGGGAAGTTAATTTTAGGATGGAGGGAGTATATATGTATGCACATTTCAGCACGTCGGAATATCGGATCCACCAAATAAATAAACAAACCACTTCCACCACATCCAGTATCCCACACACACACACATCCTAATTAATTAATTAATTAATTATATTGATATACCTTATTGTTAATTATTATTATATATACTCGGTACTTATTATCATTCTAAGCCAATTCCACCCCACATACATACATACATACACACAGCTGAATTAAAGTAGGCAATATATAACTTTTAAGTGGGGTCGCCGTCGGTGTAAAAAGCAGAGCGAAATGGCCGAGGCGGGTGCCGGATTGGAATTGGCGGCGATGCTCGTGGAGGAGCTACGGCGGGGGAGAGAGTGGGCAGTCCAGCTGCAAGCCGGCGGCGGCGGCCAGATTAATATTAATAATAATAATAATAATAATGATGATGATGAAGAAGAATTAATATTATTCTCGTACCCACAACTGCAGCGGCTGCTCCAGAAGATCATCTCTTCCCTTGAAAAATCCATCACACTTCTCAATTCCAACTTCAACCTTCCCACTCATCATCATCATCATCATCATCATCAAGACAAAGACACTATTGCCCCTCTCCCTCCTCCTCCCATCCCCAACAACATCAACAACAACAATTCTAGTCCTCTTCTCGCGACGGCTTCAAGTTCAACTCCTCCACCTACTCTTGAAGTCTCATACGAGGGCGATTCTCCAAAGCTCGGGGGCCGCGGCGTCTTCAAGAAAAGGTTTTTATTTATTTTCCGTTCCAAGAAATTATTCAATTCAACAAAAAACTCTTCTTGTAATTGTAGTGGTTAAGCAGGTGATTGAACTTTTTTTTATATATTCCAACAAGAAAAACTTGTTTCACATAGGACTAAAAGATAGTATGTTTCCTTGAATATGACCAAATATGTTTTATTTTTCTTTATGACACATATTTTCATATCATCTGCCATATTTTCCCTCATTAGCAACAAATTTTGGACAGTGAGTGATTACACAAATGGCTCTACGAATATGGTCATTAGCAACACGTGTTGAATAATGACTTATTATTTCAATGACTATCCAACTGATTTTTAATAGTGTAATATTCTACTTGAGTTGTGTAATATGCCATTTTTTTCAAAGACATGACATTTTAGAATTTTTCATTGCCAAACGTAAACATGACTCGTTACATTTAGAGAAAAGTGATATCTTTAAATTCTATTTACGTAAATTACTTTATTGACAAATACTTTTTATTCATTCAGAAAAACTTCGGGGAGCCAACAAGTTCGGGTTTGCTCGGCAACGGGATTGGGGGGCGGGCTTGATGATGGGCATAGTTGGAGAAAGTACGGCCAGAAAGATATTCTAGGGGCCAACCATCCTAGGTAATACTCCCCCCGTCCCATAAAGTGTTACCCATTTTGACTAAAGTTGAAATTAAGGGAGTGATAATTTTGGGTTGACTTTCCAAAAATACCCTTGATGTGATGGGTAAAAGTATGATGTGATGTGTAGATTATTAGGAAAAAAGTATGATGTGATAGGTATGGTTTGAAAAAGTAAAGGGTAAAAGTGGTTTTTTAATGGAAATTGGTAAGGGATTGTGGGACACAATTTTTTTGAAACATGTAAATCTTTTTGGGACGGAAGGAGTATAACATTTTTTTCTTCTCCTCCCTATAGTTTTTTTTGATAGACTTTTTGAATATTTGTCACACCTTTTTTGACTTTTCACTTTTTCTCTTTTTCATTTTTATAAACGACTATTAATATATTCATTCAATGAAGAATGCAAAGATTGGGAAGGTTCCTACAGATCAGATATAATCAATCATTCAAAATTGCTTTTCTTGTTTCTTTTTCAGTTCTGTTGCATGAACTTTGCACCCATAATGTCTACCTACAAGGCCTAGCCTATATATATGGGTATATAAAGTGTGAATACTAAGTAGAGCCAAGGGTATAAAAGTAAAATTAACTTGTAAATTTTCAGATGTTTGATGGTTTTTTTTAAGAAGTCAAATTTTCATCTTTCAAAACGTATCCCAAGACCCAAATAACAGTAAGGGGCTGGTTTAATTTGATTGAGCAGGGCATATTACAGGTGCACACATCGATACATGCAGGGCTGCATGGCTAAAAAGCACATTCAAAGGTCCGATGCAGACCCTTCCATTTTCGAGGTCACGTACAAAGGAACCCACACCTGCACTTCTTCTTCTTCTTCTTCTTCTTCAATCTCTGCCGAAAGCCGGAGCCCAAACGGCGCCCAACAACTTCTGCATCAGCTGCAGAAACAGGATGAAAAACAACATGGCTTGCTGCTGCTGGTAAACAGCCATGGACCCACTGAAACTGACCTTGATGATGGGAACATTGCAAGTGGTGATGATATCTTCCCCACCTTTGTCTCCCCAGCATCGTCCGACGACGACTCCTTCATGAACTTTTCCTTTTTGTTTGATCAGAACGACAACGACTACTGTTTTGAAGAGCTGACCCAATTCACGGGCAGGTCCGAATCTGATTCTTCCAACAACTCCCCTTTCGCGGATTGGCATTTGCCCGCCGCAGCAGCAGCAGCAGCTGATGATGATGATCATCATCAAGTACTGAATCTTGATGCAATTGACATCTGGGAGTACTTCTCCTAGCTGATGCATCTGAATATGCTAATTAATATATACAGAGTAATGAATTAAAGCTAGAGAGGATCAAATAAGGGCAGATTAGGGGCTCATCATTTTCATTGTGCTGTCTCCTTAATTATATTCTTTATATTGTTTTGCTTCTGTAAGTTCATCAGGTTTGTAAACATCTGCCTCGAACAATTTCAGTTTCGAATCTGCATTTGGAAGCTCCTTCAGAAGCCCCACCTTCGTCGGATCTCCTACAAACACCAAACTTTACAATATTTGAAAAACAAAAACCAATTCTTGAACAACAAGTCCCACACTTTGCAATGGGATCAATCCGTAACAAGATTTGATATTGGTTATAGGCACGTCAAAGCTAAGAATTTGTACTGGGAGTTGTAATAATATAACTCACCGAGATTCCTGAGAGTTGCATGGACAGTGTAGCCTCTGTGTAACAAGGATCTTATGAGGAAGGAGGCAAGGTAACCGGCACCTCCGGTCACACACACAATCATCATCTTCTTCTTCCTCTTCTTCTTCTTCTTCTTCTTCTTCTTCTTCTTTTGCAAAGAGGTTTCAGGGGATGGATGTAAACTGTCAACAAGGTTTCATACCAACTTTCACCTTCAAGACGATATCTTTGAATATTTCAATCTGTTAACATTTGAAACTTTCTAATTAGCTGACTTGCAAAAAAGAAACGAGACACGCAACTGATTTATTGATTACTATGTTATTGGAATAATCCAAAATGGAACACGCACGCAACATCAGATTGCATTCATAATGTTAATGTTTTCATTTAAATGTATAGTATTACTCCCTATATTTTTGCATTCCCTTCTCATCACGATGTAGCACGTTTATTAATCTTCACTTTACAATTATTCTTTATGTATTCAATTTTACGGGGTAGTATATTGTGCATAACTTTTTTTTTAAAAAAAAATTACCGTGAGAATGTAAATCTCGTTTATTTCGAATTTGAAACGTGGGGCCTTAGCGGGGAAAATAAAGATCAATGAATTTGTTTTGGAAAATTGAAATAAGGAAAGTAGAAAGTTGTTTAGAAGACGGAGAAAGTATTTGTTCAAGTTGATAAAATTCAGCTATGCCACGGCCGTGAAAACCGTCATCAAATAAAAGCCGTAATGACATGCCAATTATAATATTCTTAGCCAATATATACTACGGTAGTATTGATTGATAAACATGTTATTGGTACAAGATTCTGAGAACCATAGTTCAATTAAGGAGATTATAGAATCTCTTGGTGCATTCCGACCTCATCAAGATACTGATAACCATATAGTTCAGTTGAGGATACTGCAGAATCTCTTGGCGCATTGCAGACTGTCGGAAAGAATCGTACTATAATCATATTTCCATTCAAAACCTGCTTCTTCCAACTTTCTTGAACCCCACTCTGTGTCCCTCATTGTGTCCTCAATGAACCTGAGAAACAGCAGTCACATTCATTCGAATTACCAAGTCCAAACCTGTAATATAT